CTGGACATTAAATAACTCAACTGAACATAATCCATGAGTAAAAGAAGAAATCAAAAGGAAAATTAGACAGTAATTTTGAACTGAATGAAAATGAAAACACAACATAGCAATATGAGATGCCATTAAGTAGTTCTTAGAATGGAAGTTGAGATTATTAATTTCCCTCTAAGAAACCATAAAAAAAGACAGCATATTAATCCAGAGTAAGCAGAAGAAGTTATCATCAGAGCAGAAACTGAAGAGTCAAAAAGAAAAAAGAAAAAAGAAAAAACAAAACAAACAAACAAACAAACAAAAAAACCAACAAAAACTGAAGAGAAAACCCCAATCCGGTTCTTTGAGAAAATCAATAAAACTGGTCAATTTTGGCCAGGCAATAAGGAAATTAACAGAAAACATCAACTGCTAACTAATATCAAAGAATGAAAGAGGGGTCATTGCTACAGATTATAGATATCTTAAAAGAACATTATGAACAACATTATGCAAATAAATTTGTCAATGTAAATGAAATGGACAAATTCCTCCAAAGAAACATTCAAAGAGAGAGAACCAGAATAGACCTATTACTATTAAACAAGTTGAATACGCAGTTAAAAACTTTACCTGAAATACATGAAAATAAGTAAAACTATAGTACAGATGGCTTCATCAAATTTTCCCAAATGCAGGAGGAAATACCAATTCCAAACAAACTTCTCCAGAAAATGAAGAAAAGGAAGTACTTTCCAACTCATTCTGAGACCAGAATTATCTTGATAGGAAACAACACAAAGACATTATAAAGAAACGACAGACCTCAATAACATGGGTACAAAATTCTATATAAATTTTAAAAACTCTAATTCAACAATACAGTATGATTGTGTAGGCAGCCACTGAAATAATTAATAATATCCACCTCTTGGCATTCACGCCCATGTATAATCCAGTTCCTGTGGGAGTGGGGAGGCTAAATCTTGCTTCTAACTTGCTTCTAACAAATAGAATGATGTACAAATGATAGAGTGTCACTCTGAAGATTTGGCTAAAAGAAAATAATTTCAGGCGCCTGGGTGGCTCAGTCGTTAAGCGTCTGCCTTCGGCTCAGGTCATGATCCCAGGGTCCTGGGATCAAATCCCACATCAAACTCCCTGCTTGGTGGGAAGCCTGCTCCTCCCTCTCCCACTCCCCGTTTGTGTTCCCTCTCTCCCTGTATCTCTCTTTCTGTCAAATAAATACATAAAATATTTTTTAAAAAAAGAAAAAAATCTCTATCTTGCTTCACAGCTCTCTTGGCACTCTTGCTTGCTCACTGTGATGAAGCAAGCTATAATTTCTGTGAAATAATCCATGGAGAGACCAAATGTGGCGGCAAAGGACCAAAAGAGTCCTCTAGATAACACCTGAGGAACTAAAGTATTAGTCTAACAACCTGTCAAGAACTAAATTCTACCAACCACCACATGGGTGAGCTTATAAGCATATCCTTCTCCCACCAAGCCTACATATGAGAACACAGCCCTGACCAACAACTTAACTGCAACATTGTGAGAGGCCCTAAAGCAAAGAAGATACGCAAATCACCCCAAGACTCCTGACCCACAGAAACCATGAGATAATAAATATGTGTAGTTTAAGCCAATGTTTCAGGTTAATTTGTTATGTGGCAACTTCAATGGATGAATGGAAAAGGAAGATGTGGTCCATATACACTATGGAGTATTATGCCTCCATCAGAAAGGATGAATACCCAACTTTCGTATCAACATGGACGGGACTGGAAGAGATTATGCTGAGTGAAATAAGTCAAGCAGAGAGAGTCAATTATCATATGGTTTCACTTATTTGTGGAGCATAACAAATAGCATGGAGGACAAGGGGAGTTGGAGAGGAGAAGGGAGTTGGGGGAAGTTGGAAAGGGAGATGAACCATGAGAGACTATGGAATCTGAAAAACAATCTGAGGGTTTTGAAGGGGCGGGGGGTAGGAAGTTGGGGGAGCCAGGTGGTGGGTATTATGGAGGGCACGTATTGCATGGAGCACTGGGTGTGGTGCATAAACAATGAATTCTGTTATGCTGAAAAGAAATAAATTAAAAAAAAATGTTATGCAGCAAGATAACTAATAAAATATTGAAGTAGTGTTTATCCATGAAATGCAAACATCAAAAAATTTAATTCATCATTATCAACAAGAAAACTATACCATTATCTCAGTAGAGCAACATTCCTTTCTGATAAACTCTCAGCAAATAAGGAAAAAGATATTTCCTCAACCTATTGAAGGGTATCTAACAAAAAAAAAACCTAAGCTAACATGCTTAATGGTGAAAGAATGCTTTCCACTAAGATGAGGAACAAAACAAGAATGTCTGATCTCACTGCTTCTTCAACATTGGATTAGTGGGGATTCAGCAAGTCTAGCCAGTGCAGTAAGGCAAGAAATAAAAGGAATCCAGTTTAGAAAGATAAAAAGGGGAAAAAAGAGAAAAAATTTATTTTATGTGTACACAACATAATTATCTATGTAGAAAAGCTAGTGACAGCTACAAAAAAAAATTACAAGAACTAATCAATGAATTTAACATGATCGCAGGATACAAGACCCACACCCAAAAATCAATTGTATCTCTATACTAGCAATAAATCAAGAATTGGAATATTTTTTAAACTATCACTTACAATAGTATCAAAAAGTATGAAATACAACAAAAAGATGTATAAGGCCTACACACTGAAAATTATGAAATGTTAAATTACAGAAGATCTAAATATCTTTCCATTAATAGGGAAATAAATACATCTTATTCATAGTCAAAAGACACAATATTTTTAAGATGTCAATTCTCCCCAAACTGGTCTACTGATTCACTATAATCCCAATCAAAATCCCAGTGAGCTTTTTTATAGGAAATGACATGTTAATTCCAAAACTCATGTGAAAATGTAAAGAACGTAAAACAGAGAAAAACATCCTTGAAACAGAAGTACAAAGTTGGAAAGCTAACACTATCTGATTTCAAAACTTATAAAGTCATTACAATGGTTTGGGATAGGCAAAAAGACTACTAGATCAACAGCATAGAATGGGTCCAGAAATAGACCTACACATGAACAACTGATTTTTTATGAAAGTGCAAAGACAACTCAATGGAAACCAATAGTGTTGAAATAAGTGGGTTATCCACATACATTAAACTGAACTTCAGTATCTAGATCATAAAAAAATAAATAGATTTTGATCCATGCTGTATAACCCAAACAAAATATTAACACAGATCCCAGACTTATACATAAAACCTAGAACTAAAAAACTTTCTACAAAAGAATATGAGACAATCTTTGTTGGCTTTGTTCAGGCAAAGATAACTTAGATATAACACTAAAACACAATTCAAAAAAGAACATGTTGATAAATGAGATGTTACAAAAATTAAAACACAACAAGCTCCTTTTCAAAAGGGAGCTAGGAGAATGTCAAGACAAGTCACAGACTGGGAGAAATACCTGCAAAGCCTATGTCTGAAAAAGGATTTTTAACCAAAACATACAACGGATTTTCAAAACTCAGTAATAAGAAAATAATCCAGTAAGAAAAAATGGACAAAAATGGGAACACGCTTCACCAAACATGATGTAAGACGGAAATAAGCACTCAACAAGATACTCATAGTATCATTAATCATGAGGAAGTGCAAGATAGAATCACAATGAGATTCCATCCTATACCTATTAGCATAGCTAAAATTAAAAAGCCTGACCACACCAAGTGTTGCAAGGCTGTGAAGAAACCAGAACTCTTATGTAGAAATGGTAGAAAAGTGAAATGGTACAATCACTCTGAAAAGTTTGATATTTTCTTAAAAAGGCAGATCTAGAACAGTACACAGTTCAATCACTCCTCTCCTAGGTATTTACTCAGTGGAAATGAATACATATGTCCATAAAAAACTTGTACAAAATGAACATAGCTTTAGCTGCAACGGCCAGAAAACAGCAACAAGCGACATATCTATAAACAGGTGCCTAGGAAAACAAACTGTGTTACGTCCATACAATGAAACAGAATGAACTACCCAGCAAAATAAAGAACAAACTCCTGACACATCCAATAATATGGATGTATCTCAAAATGATTACGCTAAGTAAGGGGCCAGACCCCCCCCAAAAAGTACATATTACATAATTCCATTTATACTTAACTCTATAAAAAGCTAATTTATGTTAACAGCAGATCAAAGGTTACCTAGAAAGGTTAGGATATGGGGATAGATAGAAGTGTGGAATCATAAAGGTACATAATTTATAGGGGTGATGTTATATTCATTATCTTGATTACGATGATGGTTTCACAGATGTATACATACGTGAAAGCTTATCAACTTATATTAAATATGTGCAGCTTATTGTTATGTCAGTCAGCTTGAATAAAGCTTTTAAAAATAGGCACTGAATTTTTAAGTTTGGATAGAACTCCAAAGCATTATATTGTGCCAAGAAAAAATCATAAAGTGATTCTAATTATAGTAAAAATCAGGGATCACCAAATAATACCACAGGCCAAATCCAGCCATGCCAATTCTTTTATGAATGAAGCAATCACAGACTGCTTTCCCTAGCACAAGCATTCAACAGTTACCAAGAAACAAAAGAAAACAAAACAAAAAAACCAAACCCACATGTGACCTTTACAACTGAAAAGTATTTAATATGTGTCACTACACAAAAAAAGTTTGTTGACCTCTGCTATAAATCAAAAAGAGATCACAAAATGAGTGGCTTGGTTATAGAGTAATTTTAAAAAGGAAAGATCAATATGGTAATAGAACCAAGAAGAAGGCTTTCCAGAAAGCATAATTAACTTTCAATCTCCTCTACCATAAAACATGCCCACACATCTTTTGAACTTAGGACACAGTAGCATATAATGAATACAAGAGGTGAAGGTAAATGTAGATAACGTATTAATATCTCCTTTTCCATATACACTTAACACTTTCTACTACAGAAAATCTTACCTAATCTGTTCAGTCTGTACAATCCCTTCTTTGTGACCCTCCAAACGAGCAGCCAATCTCTCTTTATCAAGGCGCACACACTCTTCATCCTGAAAATAATCACTGGTAAATATCTTACATTTTTACCTAACTTGTAGAGAAACAACAAAAACATGTAACTTTTCCTTACATAAATTCCTGCCTATAACATTCCAAGCATTGCTAGCCTTAAGTCAACTCGACTGTAAGATTACTTCTAGTTACAGAAAGACAATAACATGTATTTAACATGTTGGATCACACAAGAGTAGAACTGATTAAAAACTTACCAAAGAACTTCAGCAACTTTTTTCCATGATTAAACGTTCTTCCCATAATGGATCATATCTACTTTTATTCACAAGGTATTATACCACAAATAAATTCCTTCTCTTCAGGAAAATTTATCACTAAAATTTTATGAAACGCCTTCACCATAGTCAAAAATTTCATTTTGGAGATAGGTTTTTGCACCTGTTGCCCCAGGTCCTGAATCCATCAGGATTTCTGAGGATCAGAAGTAAAACCTGAGTGTTTTCAAAGCATGTTCCTTAGAACATTAGGCATTACCTACAAAGTGCCCCACGGTCACCTCTCTGAGTTCAACCTTTGGTAGCTCAGCTTTTCTCTAACCTGCATGTCAGAATTTCAGATAAAATTTAGTTTGGAAAGTGTTCGGTTAAAAACAAAACTTGAGGGGCACCAGGGTGGCTCAGTCTTTAAGCGTCTGCCTTCGGCTCAGGTCATGACCCCAGGGTCCTGAGATGGAGCCCCGCATCAAGCTCCCTGCTTGGTGGAAAGCCTGCTTCCCCCACACCCCCTGCTTGTATTCCCTCTCTCACTGTGTCTCTCTCTGTCAAATAAACAAAATCTTTAAAAACAAACAAAACAAAACTTGATCTAGTTCAATGTCCACATTCAACAAATGAGAAAACTAAGGATCACAGTCAGTGTCTGTGGCTAACAAAATATGGTACTGTATAAAAAACATCAGTATATTCGATGTTGTGCTCCATCCAATTCATGCTCTAATACTAACCCATCATTTAAAACATTATGCTGACATGGATGCAAAGATGGTATTTTAGCAAGTTGCATTAAATTTTAGCCATTTGTAATGAAAGTAATAATACAAATTACTCAAGTTCCTTAGGAAACTACTACTGATTTTAAAGACAACTGCAGCCTAGAAATTAATCAGATTAGATCAGAATCTCTGCTCTCAAGGTTTCTCTCCTAGCCCAGTGCCTTGTAGTTTCCCAGCGTATATACACTAAACAGAAAACTGTTTATGTAACATAGTTGTTTATGTAAATCATTGTAACTTTATAAATACTCTGGAAAGAATTATATTATGCTATTTCTTGCTGATGTTCCAAGTTAATGGTAGCCTAGCAAATTAGTACTTTCAACATGTTCTACTTATTTAAAATAATTTAACTGTAAATTCAGGTTTTTCCAAATAAATAGTGTTTCTAAATTCACTCACTGTTCACAAAGGGTCATAACCTTCTTTCATACAGAGAGAGCTGGTGAAAACTCCTGTATTACTGCTGCCAAATTTGTAGTCAGTGTATATATAGAATGGCTAGAAGCCAGATAGTCTGGGCTCTAATTCTGGTTCTGTGAACCTCAGCAAGTAACTTACACTCTCAGGGGTTTGTTTGCTCACTGATGACATGCATAGTACTGCCAACTTCAGGAGGTTGTGGCTGAGGATTACATGAGTTAATATACATAAAGTATACAAAAGTCACCAGGAACAGAGGAAAAACAATGAGCCAATTATTACTATGATCATTAACTAAGAAACAAGAAGTCCATGTCTCAGAGTATGCTTAATTAAAATTGTCTTAAAATTAATTAAAACAAAATTGTACTGTTTTAACATCAAATTCTGTCAATGATTATATAGAACATACTTACCAACAACGCTGTCCCTTTAAAAGTTACCATTTTATCCTTAACTATGGATGCTTTGCTGTTTATGTAGCAGGCAAAAGGTACAACTATTTGATTTTTATACAAGTGTGAAAGGAAAAGATTATGGTTTCTAGTAATGTTAACATTAGTGATGACTACTATTTCTATATTATTAATTGTTATATTGACCAGTTCAGTCATTTCTCAGATTTTAAGGCTACTTCTAGTACATAATCTTCCATGGTCAGGGAGTTTTATATGTATCTGATCTGGGATTTGTTAAAAAATGTAAATAAATAACCTCATAATCATAAAATCAGAATTTCTAAGGCTTAACTTTCTTATGCAGTACCCTAGCTGTTCAATGACTTTTCTATTTAAAGGTAACTGCATTTCTTATACAGCTTCTATTTCATGTGACCTATCCGTATTTACCAGTATTAGTATTCCACTTGCTGGCTATAAAACACCACAAAAAAATAAGCAACCTAATACACCAGTATTTTTTTTTTTTTAATATTTATTTTAGAGAGAAGGGGGTGCATGCAAGGACGAGGAGGGCAGAGGGGCAGAGGGAGAAAATCTCAAGCAGACACCAGCTGAGTATAAGACCCTGAGATCATGACCTGAGCTGAAACCAGGAGCAGGATGCTCAACTGACTGAGCCACTCAGGTGGGTATATTAATACACACCAATATTTTAAGAAATAACTGTAATAAGCACTTCATGTTCACAGTTCTTAAGAGTGAAGCAAATTCTCATACCATCTTATTCCAGGGGTAGGCAAACTACAACCCAAAAGCAGGCTCACCATCCAGTTTATAAGATTTTATTGGAATACAGCCTTGCCAATTCATGTAAGTATTGCCTCTTCCTGCTTTTGCACTATAATAGCAGGGTGGAGTAGTTAACAGACACTAAATGACCCAAAAAGCCTAAAATACTTACTAAAATGATTCCTAACAGAAGTAGTTTTCCAACTCCTGACCTAGCCCAATACTTTCATAAGGATATAAAAGAAAAGAAAAGTGATCTGTCCAACACATAACTTCTATATAAGAGATCTTAAGCTACAGCTCAAACTATTATTAATCAAACATTCATTATACTACAACAATTTTTCCAGGAAAAAAACTCCTAGGACGACTCTGAAAAAGAATTCGTATTCATATACAAACCCAATGTAGTAATACCACGATTCACATTTAAAATAAAGTCCCATTACCTCAATGCGTGGTTTCTTTGCTTCGGCTAAAACCTCATCTGCAGCTCGTTTTACTTCAAGAAAAAAAAAAGTAAGTAAGTACATAGTTCTGAAATAAGTTTTTCAAAGTTCAATATAAATATGTGACAAAACATACCTTGGGTAGATCTCTGAAGACCTATTTCTAGAGGGGCACTTCTGTCTATGCTTGCGGATGTTGCTAGAGATTTAAAAAGAATTATGTAAGAAGACCAATATTTGAACACATACACTTGACATTATTACAGGAAATGCCCAATATTTGTTATTTCTTACTGCATATAATAATTCTTATAATAATAATTCTTACTGTGTATAATACAGTGATTTCCCTAGGAAAAAAATAAGTTTTAAAGCAGTTTTCTAAAAAATTATAAAAGATTAATCTGTATTTAAAAGTCTGTAAAAGGACAAAATATTTTTAATAATTTAGTTTACAAATTATTGTAATAATCTGACTGAAAAATCAACTGGTCACTTTATAGAACATATACTCTAATGTTAATTACCACACATACATACAAAATGTTATCTAAACATAAATACATAAACATATACATATAAAGAAAAACTCTTTAAATTAGCATTCACCTTAAAAATGCAATTTTTAGATACTCACAATTGGTAAAAAAAAAATAATTACTTTTTAAATTAAATCACTTAATTTTTGAATGGTTCAAAATAATGAAACTAACAAAAGAATGTACCAGTCCCTATCCACCTAGTTCTCACCACCCTCCATTACTGTCAGTTTCTTGTGGATCTTTCTAGTCTCTCTCTCTAGTTACAAGAAACACAAAGATACACTTTTATTCTTCTCCTTTTTTAACATATAAGGCAGCACACTATACACACTGTCATGAACCTTTTTTTTTTTTTAACCAAGTAACAGAGCTTTAACATATCAGTATGTGGAGCATTCTTTAACTTTCTTTTTAAATCTACATAGTATTTCTTGTACGGATTAATTATAATTTATTTAACTAGTACCCTATCTATCCACAGGCAGTTCAGTTCTAACCAGTTTTTGTCACTACAAACAATGACACATTATTCATGCATTTTTTTTTTTTAAAGATTTTATTTATTTATTTGTCAGAGAGAGAGAGAGGGTGAGAGAGCAAGCACGGGCAGACAGAATGGCAGGCAGAGGCAGAGGAAGAAGCAGGCTCCCTGATGAGCAAGGAGCCCGATGTGGGACTCGATCCCAGGACACTGGGATCATGACCTGAGCCGAAGGCAGCTGCTTAAATTAACCAACTGAGCCACCCAGGGGTCCCTGTTCATGCATTTTCAATCATACCTCTAGGATAAAGTCCCAGATGTAGTGTTTTCAGTGGGAATTTCATCAAGTGACACTACAACTAAAAATACATTAGGATAGCTGTTTCCTCAGAGACTCCTAAGCGTATTATTAAACTGAAAAATTGTTATCAATGAGGTTAAAAAAAATACTATATATACTTTCAATTTATAATTATGAGTGAAATAAGCATTTTTCATATGATTTCATCACTTTTTCTTTGAATTGTATGACAATAATCTACTGGGTTTTTGGTCATTTATGCATGTATTTATAGAACCACTGCATATTATCAGTAAGACCGGTCAATTCACTGTGATAGGAGTTGAAATATTTTTTTCCAACTTGTCAGGTCTTTAATAATACAGAACTTTCGAATTTTTACCAATCTATTACTTGAATAATCCTACCTTTCCCCCACTGATTTGACCTCCTTCTTTAATTGTGTCAAATTCACATAATTTAACATTTAACAGATAAAAAACTGTTCTATCAGTTTATTCACATAAATTACTAGGGCTCTATAATTAGTTCTACACTCTAAAACAGTATTTTCTCATTGCTCTTCTCCAAACTTTTATGATAGCTACTTTTACCAAATGGATTTTAACATCATCATGTCTAGTTCCACCCCTCCCTCAAGACAAACTAAAGATTTTTATTGGGATCATGTTAAATATGTAATCTATATTATGAACTGATATCTTTAAGCCGTTCTGTCTCCTTGTCTAAGAACATGGAATGTCTTAAGATTTCCTCAACTTGCTCATTAAACCATTAATTCAACAATTTGTTTTAAAAATACCAAAGGAATATACTTGATGACTAAATTTATTTGTCCTATAGAAACTAGAGGAAATGACATGGATGATTAAAGGGTAACTTTTTTCTGGACTCTGAAAAGAAAAACCATTTATTTGCCCTAAAGTACTCTCCCCCACTAACCAGCCTACTTATCAAGCTCACCGGAGATACTTAAAAATAGAGAATCCTAGAATCTATACCAGATCTTCCGAAGCAAAAAAAAGTCCATTTTCTAACAAGTACACCATATAGTTTAAAAAAGAAAAAAGAAAAAAAAAAAAAGTCTTTGCCTCTTCTCAACTCCATCCTCCTCACAGAAGAATTAGAATCCCTCCTCAATCCTCTCCCAAGCTTTTAACCCTTATTTTATCTGTCTTTCCCTATGGTAAACATGTTGAGGACAGGAATTTTGCATTTTGTATATAGCACCAAGTGCAACGCCTTTAAGAATAACCATTCAAGGAGCACCTGGGTGGCTCAATCAGTTGAGCATCCAACTCTTAACTTCAGCTCAGATCACGATTGCAGGGAGGCTGCTTGAGATCCTCTCCCTTACCCTCTGCCCCTCCCTATAGCTAATGCCCACTCGCACGCTGCCTCCCTCCATCCACCTCTAATAAATAAATCTAAAAAAAAGTAAAGGAATAACCACTCAGTAAGTGCTTGCTGAATGTTCAGTGAGGACAATACAAAAAGACGACACTCCTGATGATGGTCTTTCCATTATGCAAGAGACTGTGCAAGTCAATCTTACTGTTAAAGCCATGGAGCACAATACATGATAAGATAGCTATTAATGACTTAAAGGTAGTAAACTCCACCCCAAGAAAGGTTAGGGCCAATCAGAATTATATTGACTTATTCATACTAAGATTATATCAATTTATTCATACTCATCAATTTATATATCAATTTATTATACATATTTATTCATATTTTTTAAGACAGCAAATTAATGATAACTCATTTATACAGGTAAGCACCCACTATTTACCACTGTTCTAAATGCTGGGTATTTAACAAGTGTTTGCCCTCTTAGAGTTTACCCTTTACTGGGGGAGACAATATATAAATAAACAAATATGTAATTTCAAATCAATGTAAGGAATTTGATGAATAAATCAGGAAGATATTATACATAGATGCACACATGTGGCAAAACACTATTTTATATTTTAGAATGGTAAGTCCTTATTTTTTTAAAGATTTTATTTACTTATTTGACAGAAAGAGAGCACAAATAAGCAGAGCAGCAGGCAGAGGGAGAGAGAGAAGCAGGCTCTCTGCTGAGCAGGGAGCCCAATGCGGGGCTCAATCCCAGGACCCTGGAATCATGACCTGAGCGCTGAAGGCAGCCACTTAACCAACTGAGCCACCCAGGCGCCCCTGGTAAGTCCTTTCTGACAGAAGACTTAATAAGCACAGATGTGAATGAGGTAGTAAGAAGTAAGACATATGACAATACAGAGAAACAAGAACTAACACAGAGAAAACAGCAAGTACAAAGACTTGAAAAGTTAGGATAGTTAAAAGAATCATTAAGACAGGACTGCCGCAAGCAGAGGAGGGTTGGAAGAAGATGAGGCCACAGAGATTTAGGCCGAAGCAAGATCACATACGTCAGAAAAGAACAAGAAGTGTAAGCTTTATTCTAAGTATGACGGGAAGCCACAGGACGGGCTTGACCAGGTAAGTGACACAATTAAGTTTATATGCATTTTCACAAACAGGTCACTCTAATGGGTAGGACAAAGACTATACCAGAAAATACAGAGTGGGGGCCGGTAAGAGGGCTATGCAAGTCTAAAGGGGGAGAACGGAACAGGATAGGATAGAATGTTTTAAAAAGTGTCATACTTTTAAAGTTAAAAAAAAAAAAAAGGATTTGCTCATGAAATTGATCAAAGTAATCAAAGATTCTTCTAGGGTTTTTCCTTAACAACTACATGAATGGGAAAGAATTTATTGAGATGGAAACACTGGGAGACCAGACCTGCTATTTTAGTTTTGTTTGAGGGGAGAAAGGAAGGAGGAAATCAGCATTTTATTTCAGGTATGTTGAATTTCACATACCTATTAAATATCCAAGGAAAGATGTGAACAGTGGATTTATAACTTGAGCTTAGGAATAGGTCAGTGCTAAAGATTGGTAAGCAAAATAAAATGAGAGATGGACAATGAATAGAAAGAAAATCAAAGGAGTCTGGTGCCCCAAATGCCAAGTGAAGAAAGGCTTTCCAAAGAGTCATCAACAGTGTCAAATGCTGTTGAGAGGCCAAGACATGGATATGAGATGAAAGGAACTGGCAACCCCTAAATCAGTGCTGACTTTTAACAGTGATTTTAGAGATGTTGAGTAGGAAAGCCAGACTGAAGTGGAGTCAAGAGGGGAGCAGTGAGATCACACAATTGTTAACAAAGAATTCAAGACAAATTCAACAGATACTAGGAATGTTGGGTCAAAAAACTGTTTTTCAATGAGAGATCTTACAGTAAAGGGAATGATGCAGAGAAAAAGAGAAAGATGATGATGCAAGAGAAGTAACAATTCATAAAGGCAAAGTCTTTCAGAGTATGAAAGGAAATGGAGTCTATAGACAGAGAAGTGTGACTGGCCTTAGAAGCAAAAATAGTGCATTCACCATAAAAGAAAAGAATAGAGAGCATATGCAAACATATGCTGCTGGAAAGTTAATTTTTTAGTGGAAATACAAATTCTCGTCCCATTGCTTTTTTATTTCACAGGGGAAGGAAAGAAACAATGGCTATTTAAAAGTGAGAGCAAGGGGCGCCTGGGTGGCTCAGTGGGTTAAAGACTCTACCTTCGGCTCAGGTCGTGATCCCAGGGTCCTGGGATCGAGCCCCACATGGGGCTCTCTGCTCTCTGTGGGGAGCCTGCTTCCTCCTCTCTCTCTCTGCCTACTTGTGATCTCTGTCTGTCAAGTAAATAAATAAAATCTTTAAAAATAAATAAATAAATAAAAGTGAGAGAAAGTTAAAAATTACTCACATGCTTCACCATTGAGATATCCAAGTAGATCTTTTCGGTCAGGTCTTCTAACCACAGGTATATTTTCAGTCTGAAGTGAAAATTTTAAATTAGTTATCAAAACAACACAATTATAAGGAATAATAAAGACAAATATTGTGTAATGTATGAATTTCATTCCAACATATCTTGATAATATTTATTTAAGATTTTATCTTTAGGGAGTTAGGCTAAAAGAGCCAATAAAAGTCTTGAAAATTTTTATGAATATTAACTTTAAATAACTTCATTCTTGAAATTCAAGTAAGATATATAAAAAATAATCAGTAGAAATAAAACAATGACCCATCCTTCTTCAAAATATCAACTGCAATCTTTTTTGTTCCCTTGGCTTACCTTAAGTATTTTTTTATTTTATTCATGATACTCTGCATGCTTTAGGCAATTATCTTTTTAGTCCTACTGCCTGCTCACTTTACACATTTCCAAGTGCCTTCTTGCCTCAAACACAAAACAGACTTCTTCAAAATATTCTACTTGAACTCCAAAATACACTATCTTAGCCATTAACCTAAGTTTTCATAATAACAATAGACATGTGCTACTTAAGCATGGGGAAAAAAACTTAAGAGGAAATTATACAAGAAAACATTAATGGTAGTTGTTTACTTTCCATATCACATATTTCTTTTTTATCCTTGAGTGTATACTTTCCATATTACACATTTCTTTTTTATCCTTGAGTTATACAAAATTCTGTAAGAAAGGGGAAAAGATTAAAAAAATTAAACCTGGAAAATGTATCTATTTTGGTAAAATGGATAATTTTCCTTTAAGCTTCTATATTAGCAGTTTGTAAAGAGGTATGCAAAACAAATAAAACTGCATACTTTAGTCACCAAGTCATCTTCAGGCCATGAATTCAATAAATCCTGTAATTACCACAATTTTCCATATCATTTTTTTAATATCAACAATGGAGTACAGGAATGACAGGTGGCTGCAAGATTATAAATTAAAATCACTTTGTCACTTTATATAAGCAAAAGTGAAGTAACAAGAATCCTTTGGCTAATTATCTTATACTAACTACTGCACCATTCTGCACACACTCCTTGATGACAGAAATAAACTATACTGAATCACTTAAAATTAACTTTTTTTTTTAAGAGCAGGCTAAATTTTAATTTCTGCTATGAGTATATATATTTAAGAGCCTACAGAATTTTGTGTCCTTATTTTTAAAAACCACCCTACATGGGATATATAATAAATAGTTAAAAGACTTAATTTTCTTTAAATTACTGTTTCTAAGTCTGATAACATACTTCATCATTTGGCTACTAATAAATTATGGACATAATACAACAAATTGAGAAAGATACAAGTCTATACACATTACAAAAGGAGCCATGGCTTAGGAAAACTTATTTCAGAAATGGTCTGCTCACAAGAAAGAGCAAATAACACAAAAGAGGAAAGAATAAAATTTGTAAAACCCTAAAATTATAGAAGTATTTTACTTCTGTGAAGTATTTAAGAAAAACACATGGGAAGAAAGGTAACAATTACAGCCACAACCATTTCTCAATAATATAATTTCTAAATCTAAAGCAAGTACCTGGATCATCTTTATTACCACAAAATGAATGGACACAGTCAACAAAATATCCTCATTACTGCCTAATTCAGTTTTTAAACATTTAAGATGAGGTAATGTAAGTTTATAGAAACGTTGTTATTTTTATCCCACTATTTCCCACATCTCAAGTAGTTTTACCAAAGGTATCACTTCTTCAATATGTAGGAGATGCTGAATATCTATATCCTACTCAGAAACGAGGTGTTCAAATACTGAGATGCTAAAAGCAGGCAAAACTGAAAACAAATGAGTTTGTCAATGAAGTATCAAAAAGGTTTATTAAATTGGTTAAAAATTTAATTTTAAAGTTGTCTGTTAATCTTGATTCTTTTTGATGCTCCCAAAAAAGTTTTCTTGAGATTAAACTAAAGTTCTGCATATCAGGGTCCTTCCATAGGCTTATGAATTTCTTAAAACATTACTATAAATGCCTTCAAAACTTCTGTTCTTGTAAACAGTGCCCACATTTTACATGAAAGTCACAGATTTAAAAATCCGCATAAATCACACTGATCTAATTTTGACCCTCCAGTAGACTTTCATACAAACAAACCTTTTATTCTTTTGATCTGAAACCCATGAGGGAAGTGATTCATGCCAAATGATGTCGTCCCACACTGCTTACAAGGACTCTATGGAGTCCTGAAGAGGTCCCTGTTTGGGCGCCAAATGTTGAAATAAAGTTCTCAGACACCAATCTTAGTGCACAATGACATAACGATTCCTACCATCAAAAAGGATAAAAAGGAAATAAAAAGAAGTTTTAAAATGAATTTTACTTACGGCTGCCCGTCGGACATAAACAGGATGAGAAAGGTGCACATTATTAAGTAGAAACAAGATAGAATCCAATGTGTAGTACTCTCTGGGTTGGCCTTCTTTTCCAGTCCTGAAAAATTAAAACAAGATTTATACTCAATTTTAATTCAACTCCTTGGACTTAATTATACGTTCGAATTTATCTATACTTACTTTGCTACCCAACAATGAATTTAACATGACTAACAAAAATATCCATAAAGTATGAAATTTTGTAAGTGGAACTGTCATTAAAGCAAAAGAACACCAAGGTAGGTAATGACAAAAAGCAAGAAGGAGGGGCGCCTGGGTGGCTCAGTGGGTTGAGCCTCTGCCTTCAGCTCAGGTCATGATCTCAGGGTCCTGGGATCGAGTCCCACATCGGGCTCTCTGCTCAGCAGGAAGCCTGCTTCCCTTCCTCTCTCTCTGCCTGCTTGTGATCTCTCTCTGTCAAATAAATAAATAAAATCTTTTAAAAAAAAAAAAAAGGCAAGAAGGAAAGCACACCCTATTCATACTCTAAGGTACTATATACACTTTTTAGAACTGGCCCAAATTTGGTTCTGGTCTTCGTCAATAGAGAGAGGAATCTAATCAGTTACAGAGGATCCACAAGAGAAAACAAACTGATTAGGAGAAATACAACTACTGTCAGGGCTCAACTTAGAAGAAATTTATCCTATGTCTCCTAAAGTGAGATACTGCTGAACAGCATCCTTAATGACATTCTTACAGTAAACACAACAATGAATTTCAGAGGTATAATTCTTATGACAGCCCTCAAATTAAACTAATGATGCAAAACCATAATGAATTCTACATGTGATAAAACAATGCAGTTTAGAGGTGCAGGCTCTTTAATGAAAACACATAATACTATTTGCTCAACAATATTAGTGTTCAATCTCACCCTTCCTACTACATACTCCTCACCTGAAAATGTCAATGTGTTATTTAAATTCATCTGAATACAGCCCAAAGTAATCAGCCCCAACCTACACTTCTCTAGCCTGCATTTCCACTTTTCCTCTAGACTGATATATTTCAGATCACACATCATTACCAAATATTGTACTACGAAATGTAATATACAGGTAACTTTTTTTGATGATATAGAAAAGCAAAGTAACATAATGTACAGCATGTAATAAGGATAGCTATTGTTTACAGTTATGGACGTATGTACACATGCATACAGAGATGAATAAATGAACTAAAAATGTATTTATTGGTATGATTCACGGTTGTTACAGTTTGAAATCTATTCTAAGCAGTCCTTTTTCCACTACCAGCTTCATTGAACTATCAAAACATTTCCCTTCCAGCTCTCATGCCATTAAGCATGTCCTTTAAGACCTAACCCATCATGTCACCCTCAAGTTCTTTACCCATTCTTTAAAGCTTACTCATTTGTTCATTCACTTGTTCAAGAAAAATTTGTAGCACATCTACATCCCAAACACACTTCTGTGAAACCTATTCTAATACCCCAAGCTAGAAGTGATTACTCTCTTAAAGGCCAGAATGCAATTCTTACCAAATAATCTGTTTTATCTGATCTACTCTGATTAAGTCAACCTCCTTTGAATCAGGAACCATGGTGTTACGAAATTTTTCTATTCTTCAGATTGAACCACCCTACACCGTGACTATTCCTCAACTATTTTTTAAAGAAAAAAATAAATCAGTTAAAATTCCCATCAATGTAACTGTCTGTGCAAATTCTTCTGTAAGGACAAAACGCAGGAAACTCAATGATGTCACTGCCTCAACATTTCATAAAGCTAATCGAATCATAAGCCGTCAAGGCCAAAAAACTAGAAACCAACAAACTAGATTTTCCCTAGCTTTTCATCAACTCTTCATAAAGCCCAGTGCTCCCATTCAATCAAATGAAATGAGTATGGAAGTTCTGGCCCAAGCTTCCAATTACCCAAATGAAATACCAATGACAGAAACATCACTACAAAGGCCCCAAACGATTATCAGACCTATTTCTAGAGATTTTCCTTAATGACTTAAATTCAGAAAACCCCGCGTAGACCAACGTTCCAATACATTTCTCTTTAAAACACATTCCCTAAAAACCACACAACACCATCAGTACCTTACTTAGATCTGTAAAGCTCACCCCATTTCACCAGTAACTCCTGGTTACAGGAGGAAACTCCTGCCTTCACCCCTAACTAACACGGGTTTTGAGGGCTCTTCCAAAGTGACCAAATCTTCTTCCCGTTCTAACTTCACATAGTTGGTTGCCTTCTCTCTTCTTGAGGGAATTTTACGAAAGAAACAGAAACAGACCAGGAGCTGCAAGGAGCAGGAGGGATAGTTAAACACATGGTAGCCTCGTAGAGAAAGAAAAAAAAAAACAAAAACAAAAACCTAAAGAACACAGAAAGACGTCTCCAGGACCGGACAGTGTGCCCTTTTCTGCAGCTACACACACAGCTAACACTCGACACGCACCCGCAGAAATGAACTAGAGAAGTCAGAAACTCCTTGGTACCTTTCCCTGTGGCGTCCCAAAGACTTAAAGAAAATGGACTACTCAAGACGCACCTCCTCCTATTCCCTCCTCACCTGAAAGTGTAATTTCTTTTCTAGGAAAAACTTTTACCCAGGGACCCGTCCCCAAAGGGAATCGGGGGGAGGGGTTAGGAAAGAGGTCGCCTGGGGGCGCCCAACTCTGCCCGGCCATCCCCAGGCCACAGCCATGCCGGACTTACCCCCAAACTACATAGTTGGTTTTCACATTCTTGGGCCAGGAGAACTCGCCAAAGATCACTTCGTCTCCCTTCACCACAATCTCCTTCTTCTGGATGTTGTACTGTCGCAGGACGCTGAGCACGTCCGCCATCTTCCCCCCCCCTCGCCGCCGCCGGCCCCGGGCGAAGCCGCCGCCGCCGCGCCTGCCTCCTTCTTCCCCTGTTGCCTCGCCCTCTTCCTCCTCCTCCGCCGCCGCCGCCGCCGCGAACCAACAGCAGCCGCACTAGCAGCCGTCCTCGCCTACGACAGCAGCTGGGGCAGTAGACACCCAGGCTGCCGAGGACCCCGCGCTATAAGGCAAGGCCCCGCCGCCGGCTGCCCGCGGAGAACGCCTGACTGCGCGCCTCCAGCGCTGCGCGGCCGCCACCAGGGGGAGCCGCGACCGCCCAGGAACACGCCCCTCCCAGACTTCCACTCGGCTCGGGACCGAATCGCGGCCCGAAACTCAGAGCGCAGGGATACGGCGCCCACATACGGCGCGCGTATGGAGAATATTGCCGGGCGCACGCGCACGGACACGTACCTCGTCCTCTCAGCGCGCACGCGGCTAGCGACAGGTGCGCGCGCACCTGCGAGGAAGCGGCCTGTTTGCGTCCCTCGAGCTTGCACTGAGTGATCGCCGACCTTCTTTGCGGCCGAAGGCTTACGGCACATGCCCTTGAAGGGAATGGAGCTTGGCAGAAGAGTTGCAGAATGCTGGAATTACCGTACCAACTAAATGGGACCCACTAAATGGCCTCTAAGTCTTAGTGATCTAATGAAGCCCCTTTAGAAGGGTGAGGTTTGGTGGGGGGTAGTTTGGGGTTTTTTGTTTTGTTTTGTTTTTAATGTATTCGCATAGTGTTTAAGACCTAGTCGGGAAAAGATCAATGTCGGGCACCTATGTTTGTTACCTGTTGTTTGACCTTGGCTAAGACACTTACCTTCTCACAGCATTCATTGGTTACTGGAGAAAAGGAGTTAGGATGAGAATAAGATGAAAGAAAATATCTAGCAAATAATCAAAGTACCGTTAATGTTGGATCTTGCACTTCAGTTCTTTAGATGATGACTTTTTCCAACCTGGCCCCTTCTCCCTGCCAGCCCCAAAGAGGTATGTTTAAATGGCTCTGTTCAAAGATGCTAATGAAAAAGTTAGAAAAATGGGGCGCCTGGGTGGCTCAGTGGGTTAAGCCTCTGCCTCTGGCTCATGATATCGGGATTCTGGGATTGAGCCCCATACGGTGCTCTCCCCTCACCCGGGAGCCTGCTTCCCCCTCTCTCTCTGCCTCTCTCTCTGCCTACGGGTGATCTCTCTCTCTCTGTCAAATAAATAAATAAAATCTTAAAAAAAAAAAAGAAAAGAAAAAGTTAGAAAACACAAACTCCAAGCTGTCAAAATTAGAATACTTTAAGATTACTTGATTGATTGATTGATTTTGGGCACCCAGAAGGCTAAAGGCTGTCCTTCCCATGCTGGAAACAATGAAATAAATTCAATATACTGTGGCCTGTATACCTTAAACCAAATATCCGGTGAGGCCCATAATTTTTTTATTCCTTGTACTATAGCAGAAAAGAGAGGGTGGGAAGGCATCTTCTTTACTGACATAACCAAATACCTTGACCTTCTTTGAAAGGGATCCATTTTTATTATGTGCACTACAGAGGGATATAAGTGTGTGGTTCGAGTCCTATACTATCTATAGCCATTTTGCAAATGAATTTGAGAAATTTTGTCTACTTTGTCTATTGAGAAAATACCCTGTGGTATTTTCGTGGACCTCACTGCAAAAACAGATAGTATAAAGAACTTAATTGCTCTCTAATCTCCCGCACTCTCTAATCATGCTTGTATCAGAGCACCCAGTATTACTTGACGGTCCTTATTTACTTGCAGGCCTCTTCCTGCAAAACTGAAGGGCAGTAGACCTGTGTCATCATATCCTAGTGTCTAGCACATTATTTTGCACATTATTGGCTCCTGGAAAATGTTAAATTAATAGATGGATAGATGAGTTTAACAAACTCAAGATTTGATGGGTAGGAGAGTTAGCCTTAGTTCCTTTAAATGATACTTAATTTTATTTCATACACAAACAATGACTGTCTTAGTCCATTCAGACTGCTGTAAGAGAATATCATAGACTGGCGGGGGGCGGGGGGCACTTATAAATAACATAAATTTCTTTCTCATAGTTCTAGAGGTGAGGAAATCCAAGGTCAGGTTCCCAGCAGATTCATTGTCTTTTAAGAAACTGCTTTCTGGTTTATAGACCTCAGTCTTCATATTGCATGCTCACATGGTGGGAGAAAAAGGGAGTGAATACAAACAGTCTGTCTATAGCAATGACCAGTTAGTCTCTTTTAGGATAAATTGTGGGTTTGAGGTTAGTGATTTGTAAACTCAATGTAAGGAGTTACGACATTCATAATTTGTTGTTTGTAACAGTTAAATATGTAGATCATTTTGTTTTTTTTTAAATCCCATGCAGTCACCCTACTAGTATTAGTTCAGTGATGTTCTTTCCAAAATACAATAAAAGGCAAGATTAGTACTAGAGCTGAACGGAGGAAATTAACTAGAAAAAAATTGGAAAATTTAGTCTTGTTTCTTTGTCTTGGGTGAAAGCTGTCCACTTCTTCAGTCATCAGTTTCCAAAGAGTTCCTAGCAATTCTCAGTTTGAATTATCCTGATAGGATAAATGTCCAGCAATAAGGAGAAAGTGGTATGTACATCTTTTTATTCTTTTTTAAGATTTTATTTATTTATTTGAGAGAGAGAGAGAATAAGTGGGGAGGAGGGGCAAAAGGAGATGGAGAAGCAGGCTCCCTCCTGGGCAGGGAACCCAGTGCAGGACTCCACCCCAGGATCCAGGGATCATGACCTGAGCTGAAAGCAGAGGCTTGACAGACTGAGCCACTCAGGTGCCCCAGTGGTACATCTTTGTAGTTGAAAACCGTGGATGAAAGATCATTACCTTAGAGTTTTGCTGCTATGTCCATTGTTAACAATAACTGCCTGATTAGATCCTTTCCATCAATTCCAAGGATAGTTATACTCTGATAGCTTTGGCAGGTGACTTAATATCCAGGTTTTAAATTAAGAAGGGTATGTTTGAATAGGTTTTTGGAAATGCACCTTGAACTTTCTAATGATCGTTTTGGAGGCACAATAAGTCAGTAATAGTATTTATTCATGTTAGTCTGTAATGGATAGAATCTAGGATTAGAAGTAAATGTTTCAAGTGCAAGGGGTGGGGGTTAATTGTTAACTCATGAGGAGATAATCTATAGGTTTCAGAGAGAGTAAATCTTATTGCCACCAAGGCCAATGTCAAAATTAAGGCCAAGAAAGTTCAAAATTTTCTGAGAGCTTTGTTAATTTTAAATTTAGGATTCCATTAATTCTGTTTCATTTTCCTAAAGTGTGTGGAAGATAAGAATGTGGAGCCATGGCTTCCCAACAAGGACAAACTTCTGCGCAATCCTGAGAATAAACAAACAGCCTGAACATGTTCGTAGCTCATTACTAGAGGAATTTGTGTAAAATCCATTTGGCGGTGTTCGAAGGGACATCAAGACTTTGGCTTCTGTCCATTTCCTACATTTACTGTCTTGCTAGATTATGTCTTAGGCTGATAAGATGCACATTGAAAACATGCTCAGTAATATCTCTACAATTATCCTCACTAATGTTAGTTCCACATCATTGTCAGTTTATCCCTGCTATATTGTTTAATCATGAGGCATTATGATAATCCACTTTTAAAATCATCTTTTCCTTAGATAATAGCAAAGCATCCAAACATTTGTAATTTTTTCATTTTGAGAGGCTACCGTAGAGGTTAAGGATTCTGTTTTCAAAGCATTCCAAGGTCATGGGATGATAAATGTATTATACACATACACATACACACACACACACCGCACACATATAAACACATATATACATTCATGCTTGAAGAACTCTGTATATATGTATACATGATTTTATATATATATATGTATATATATATATAAATACCTTTCATGCTTGAAGATTAGGATTTTATGATGATGAAGGGCACATATTATTTAAGCTTATAATTTTTGAAATATATAAAACTCTATATATACATATGTTTACTTATGTGTGTGTGTGTATACTCTTACCTTTTGTCAGCTGGTAGATTTAGGTAAGAGAAATTAGGTATCTGAAGTAATTTAATTCTGGAAGAGCCTGATATTTTAAGGGTAAATTTGGGTATTTGATAGCATAGCCTTATTAGAAGTTTTTTATCATTCTTTTTATTCAGGAACCATCGGTAAACAAAATTAAATCAGACACATCCAAGAGAGTTTCAGGGGTTGTATTATGGATAGTTTCCTAACAGACATAAGCAATGATTAGATTCTCCTTCTTTTGGTAAAGGAAAGAGGGTAACTGGATTTAGTGTTGTAGTCATGTATAGTGTGGTGTGAGGGAAACGAGTATTTTATAGGAGGTTAGGCAACTACCTGAGAAGTGCTGAGTGATTTTTGTCAATGAAGGAGTCTTTAACCCACTGAGCCACCCAGGCGCCCGTCAATGAAGGAGTCTTGAGTGGCTTAGGGAACAATTCGGTTTAGTGGAGACCCTAGAGCAATTAACTGAGGCTTTCCTGTGTTTTACTACTGTTTTGTTATAGCTCTCCGCCAAGACAGGTTAACTTTGCCTACTGAATATAATGAAAGACTGAAATAAGTAATAAATTTCCAAAGAGTCAGTGATCTAGTGCTTATTCAGACTTCTCATGAACAAAAAGATAAAAGGGACTTTTGATCTAGGATCCTGGAAACAAAATCTTTTGATAATCTTCTTTTAACTTGAAAAATATACAGTCATAGAAAAGTACTTCTTTTTCTTTAAGGATTTTTTTTTTAATTTTTTTTATTTTACAGAGAGAGAGCAAGTACAACCAGGGGAGCACCAGGCAGAGGGAGTAGCAGGATCCCTGCTGAGGAAGTAACCCAATGTAGGGCTCAATCCCAGGACCCTGGGATCGTGACCAGAGCCAAAGGCAGATGCTTAATGACTCAGCCACCCAGGCATCCCCAAAAATATTTTTATTAATACATTCTGTTTATGTATAATTAGCCTAAGAAGATGAACCTTGTTTTGTATTATCAGTCTTTCCCTAACTTTTATAAAGAATAATTTCTCATAATAATTTTTTAAAACTTGAAGAATTCTGGAAAAACCTAATTATATTTATTGCCCTTTCATGTGTAGGGTAAAGGAGCAATTCTTTCTATTTCC